GGGATCCTGGGATCCCGGGGGTCCCGCTCACCCGTCCCAGCGGATGAATTTGCTGCCCCGCACGAGCATCTCAGGCACCCGCGGCGGCTCCAGCGGGAGCAGGGCCGGCACCGGCACCGGGGCCGCCATCGCCGAGCGCCCACGCGGGCGGGGCCAGCGCGGCAGGGGCGGGGGCCAGCGCGGGAGGGGCGGGGCACAAGGGAATGTGGGCGGGGCCAAAAGAGCAGGGGGCAGGCCGCCGGCGCCGTTCAGGAATGGGGCGGGGCCAAAGGGATCGGGGGCAGGGGCCTCTGGAAAGGGGCGGGGCCAGGAGAGGGATCGGAGCTCCTGGCGCTAAAAAGGACAGGGCAGGGCCAAACTGGAGGGGCAGGGCCAAACCGAGGGCGGGGCTGATGAAAATGGGCGGGGCGGGGAGGAGCCACTGAGGGGTGGAGCCTCGTGGGGCGGGGCTAAGAAAAGGGCGTGGCACAAGAAGGAGGTCGCGATTTTGGGGGGTCCGGGCAAGGTGGGGGCTGCGGGGGCTGTTCTGGGGTGGGGCGTGGTCAACGCGAGGGGCGTGGCTGAACGAAAGGGGGCGGGGTTTGTGGCTGAAAGTGTGGGGTGTCAGCAGAGGGCGTGGCTTTTGGTGGGCGTGTCCGTATGGGATGGGCGTTTCCTCTGTGGTGGGCGTGTCCCTTTTATGGTGGGCGTGTCGCTGTGTGAGGTGGGTGTGTCCCGGTTTAGTGGGCGTGTCCCGGTGTGGGATGGGCGTGTCCCGGTTTAGTGGGCGTGTCCCGGTTTGGTGGGCGTATCCCGGTGTTAGGTGGGCGTGTCCCGGTGTGGGGTCGGTGTGTCCGGTGTGGGATGGGCGTGTCCCGGTTTAGTGGGCGTGTCCGGTGGGCGTGTCCCGGCTGGAGTGGGCGTGTCCCGGTTGAGTGGGCGTGTCCGGTGGGCGTGTCCCGGTGTCCGGTGGTCGTGTCCCCGCTCGGTGGGCGTGTCCCGGTTGAGTGGGCGTGTCCGGTGGGCGTGTCCCGGTGTCCGGTGGGCGTGTCCCCGTTCGGTGGGCGTGTCCCGGTGCCCGGTGGGCGTGTCCCTGCTCACAAAGGGCCCCTGCGCTGGCGGAAGGAGCCCTGGGGGCGTGGCCGTGGCGGGGAGGGGCGTGGCCGCTTCCTCTCGGTGGTCGCGGCCATGGCGGAGCTCGCGCGGAGGGCCCGGCCCCCCTCGGGCCCCCTCGGGCCCCCATCCCCGGGGACCCCCGGCCCCGGCAGCGCCCCGGGGACCCCGGGCGGGCCCCTGTCTGCTTCTGCCCCCGCGGCCGGGGGCGGGGACGAGGGGCCGGGCCGGGGCCGCGGGAAGGTCACGGTGCGCTACGACCGAAGGGAGCTCCGCAAGCGCCTCCACCTCGAGGAGTGGATCCTGCGGCAGCTCACGGCGTCTACGACTGCCCGGTAACCGGGGGACACCGGGGGATAGGGGGACAGGGGAGGGTTAAAGGCAGCTCACGGCGCTCTACGACTGCCCGGTACCCACCGGGAGACAGGGGGACAGGGTGGGGGGACAGGGGGTTAAAGGGGCTCATGGAGCTCTACGACTGCCCGGTAACCGGGGGCAGGGGGGCACCGGGGGTCAGGGAGGGGATAGGGAGGGGGTACAGGGGCTCACGGCGCTCTACGACTGCCCGGTACCCACCGGGGGACAGGGGGCATCAGGGAGGGGGGACAGGGGGCACTGGGGGGTACAGGGGCTCTACGGAGCTCTACGACTGCCCGGTAACCGGGGGCATTGGGGAGGGGGTACAGGGGGTCATGCGGAGCTCTACGACTGCCCGGTAACCGGGGGACACCGGGGGGACAGGGGGCACGGGGGGCACTGGGGAGGGGGACAGGCAGCTCACGGCGCTCTACGACTGCCTGGTACCGGGGGATAGGGGGACAGGGGCTCATGGAGCTCTACGAGTGCCAGGTACCCACCGGGGACAGGGGGGACAGGGGGACAGAGGGGTACCGGGGGGACAGGGTGGGGACAGGGGGTACAGGGAGCTCACGGCGCTCTACGACTGCCCGGTACCCGGGGGCATCAGGATGGGGGACAGGGGGGTACAGGGGCTCATGGAGCTCTACGACTGCCTGGTACCGGGGAGGGACAGGGTGGGGGGACAGGGACCCCCGGGATCGGGGACAGGGACCCCACTCGGGATCGGGGCAGGGACCTCCCGGGATCGGGGACACCCCCAGGGACCCCCTGGGAACACCAGGACAGGGACCCCCACTCGGGATCGGGGACACCCCCAGGGACCCCCCTTTGGGATCGGGACAGGGACCCCCAGCCCGGAAACCCCCAGGGACCCCTGGGATCGGGGACACCCCCAGGGACCCCTGAGATCTGAAACAGGGACCCCGGGATCAGCACTGAGACCCCCCCTCGGGATCGGGGCAGGGATTGGGACAGGGACCCCCTGGGACCCCCCTCGGGTCGGTACCGGGACCCCCCCTCCCACCTCTGGGACCCCCTCAGGATCCCTCCCAGACCCCCCTCCCAGACCCTCCGCCCTGCCCTCCCAAATTGGGCATCAGGACCCCCCTCAATCTCCAGGACCCCCAAAATTCCCCAGGATCTCCCCCACCCAAAGTCCCTCCAAGTTTTGGGATCCCCCCAAAACCTCCAGGACTCCCCAAAACCCCCCATGACCTCCCCCAAACCCCCAATCCTGGGACCCTCCCCCCAAAACCCCCAGCACCTCCCAGACCCCCAAAAACCTTCTGGGCCCCCAAAAATCTCCTTGTTGGGCCCCCACTCTCGGGGTGCCCTTCCACAGTGCTTTGGGGGAGGGGTGGCAGAGGCGCTGGGGGATTTTTGGGTGTCCCCCCCTCTGATTTGGGGTCTCCCCTCCCCGAATTTGGGGCCCCCCAGGAGGAGGAGATCCCCGAGCTGGAGATCGACGTGGACGAACTGCTCGACATGGAGAGCGACCGGCGCCCGCAGCGCCCGGGTGCAGGTGCCCCAAAAACCCCAAAACCACCCCAAAACATCCCCAAAATCCCCTCCAAAGTCCTCCCCAAAACCACCCCAAAATCCCCCAAAACCTCCCCAAAATCGCCCCAAAATCCCCCAAAACCACCCCAAAAACCCCAAAACCACTCCAAAATCCCCTCAAAATCCTCCCCAAAACCCCCCTAAAATTCTTCCAAAACCCCCCCAAACCCACCCCAAAAATCACCTCCAAAACATCCCTAAAGTCCCCTCCAAAATCCTCCCAAAACCTCCCCCAAACCACCCCCAAAAGCCCCCAATAACATCCCAAAAGTCCCTCCAAACCCACCCCAAAATCCTCCCAAAAATCCCCCAAACCCACCCCAAAACCACCCCCAAAGCCTCCCCAAAATCCACCCCAAAACCCCCCAAAAATTCCTCCAAAACCTCCCCAAATCCCCCAAAAATCCCTCCAAAACCCCTCCAAAATCCACCCCAAATCCCCCCAAAATACCCTCCAAAACCCCCAAACCCACCCCAAAAATCACCCCCAAAACCCACCCCAAAATCCACCCAAAAACCCTCCCCAAATCCCCCAAGATCCTGCCCAAAACCAACCCCAAAAGCCCCCCAAAACATCCCAAAAATCCCCCCAAAATCCTCCCCAAAACCCCCCAAAATTCCTCCAAAACCCTCCCAAACCCACCCCAAAAATCACCCCCAAACCCACCCCAAAATCCACCCAAAAACCCTCCCAAAATCCCCCCAAAACTCTCCCCAAAATACCCCAAAACCCCCCAAAAATTCCTCCAAAACCCACCCCAAAGTCCCCCCAAACATCCCCAAAATCACCTCCAAAATCCCCCAAAATCCTCCCCAAAAGCCAACCCCAAAACCACCCCAAAATCCCCCCAAAACATCCCCAAAATCACCTCCAAAATCCTCCCCAACCCCCTCAAAATCCTCCCAAACCCAAAATCCTCCCCAAAACCCACCCCAAAATCCACCCCCAAAACATCCCAAAAATCCCCCCCAAAACCCTCCCAAAATTCTCCCCAAAATTCTCCCCAAAACCACCTCCAAAAGCTCCCCAAAAACATCCCAAAAATCCCTCCAAAACCCATCCCAAAATCCACCCCAAAAATCCCCTGAAAATCCTCCCCAAAATACCCCAAAACCCTCCCCAAAATCCTCCCAAAACCACTCCCAAACTCTCTCCAAAAATACCCCCTAAACCCACCCCAAAATCCACCCCAATCCCCCAAAATACCCCAAAACCCTCCCAAAGCCCCCAAACCCTCTCCAAAATCCCCCCATATCCCCCCAAATCCCCCAGACCCCCCAAAATCCCGGGGATCCCCAAAATCCGGGACCCCAAACCGGGCAGGAGCTCTGGGGGTGCTTCCAGGAGGGGTTTGGGAGTCTCAAATCCCTGACCCCTCATTTCCCCCAGGAGATCCTCGTTGACTGTTACAAACCCACAGAGGTGAGGGGGCTTTGGAGGTCTGGGAGGCTTTGGGGGTCTGGGGGCACCTGGGGGTCCTGGGTGCCCTTTTGGGGGAGGGGGACACTGGGGGCCCATTTTGGGGTGGGAGCTCCTGAGACCCCTTTTGGGTCTGGGGCACCTGGGGGTGCGAGGGGGGTCCTGGGTGCCCTTTGGGGGAGGGGACACTGGGGGCCCATTTTGGGGTGGGAGCTCCTGAGACCCCTTTTGGGGGTCTGGGGCACCTGGGGCTGCTTGGGGGCTCCTGGGGAGGGGGAGGCACCTGAGTCCCTCTGGGGGCCTGGGGACCCCTTTTGGGGAGTGGGGGGACACCTGGACCCCCTTTTTGGGGGCTGGGGACACCTGGACCCCAATTTTTTGGGGGGAAGAGGAGCTCCTAGGGGTGGTTTTTGGGGCTGGGGACACCTGGACCCCATTTTTGGGAGGGTGGGAAGGGGAGTTCCTGGGGCTGGGGACCCCTTTTGGGGGTGGGGGTTTTGGGGTCCCCTGACCCCCTTTGCCCCCCAGGCGTTCGTGTGGGGACCTGCTGGAGAAGATCCGGGGATGCAGAAACTCAACACCCCCAGAAGAAATGACCCTCTCCCCAAAATCTTGGGGATCCCCCCTCCCAATCCCAGCCCCTCCCCCCAAAATCCTGACCCCAAATCCTGGGGACCCCCAAATCCGGGGTCCCCCTGCAAAGATAATCAAACCCCTCCTCCCCCCACTGGTTTTGGGGGCTCCCAGGGGTTTTGGGGTCCCCTCTGTGGGGTTTTGTTTGGGGGAGGGAAAGAGGGTTCAGAGGGTTTTTTAGTTTTTTTAAAATGTTGGGGCGTTTTGGGGTTGTTTTTATATGAATTTAATAAAACTCAGCTTTGACATTTGGGGGATCCCCTCCTCATTTCCTCCCCCAAAATGGACCCTGGGGTGCCCCCAAACTCCCCACCACAGGACTCCTTTATTGAGCCCCCAAATTCGGGGACCCTCAAAAACCTCGGGTGGCCCCCTAGGTCCCACAAAAACGAGAGGGGCCTCCCTTGAAATGAGGGGGGGGGGAGGGGCTGGGGACCCCTTGGGTTGGGGGACCCCTGGGGGGTGTTTTGGGGGTGGGGGGTTGGGGGAGGTTTTGGGGGTTTGGGGGTTTTGGGGTCCCCCTAAAGCTCCGGGCGCCGCTCGATCTTCAGCAGCTCCACCTCGAAGATGAGCACGGCCCCCCCTGGGCAGGGGGGCACAGCCCAGAATCAGCCCAAAATCACCCCAAAATCAAACCCTGAACCCCAAAATCACCCCCAGCACCTCAAAATCAGCCCAAAATCAACCCCTGAACCCCAAAATCATCCCCTAAACCCCAAAATCTGCCCAAAATCACCCCCTGAACCCTAAAATCAGCCCCTGAACCCCAAAATCTGCCCAAAATCAACCCCTGAACCCCAAAATTACCTCCCTGAACCCCAAAATCAGCCCCTGCACCCCAAAATCAGCCCCAGCACCCTAAAATTATCTCTCTGCA